ATATGAATAGTGGCTGGAAGTGAATTAAGTATAAGATAATTAATGCCCGCTTGACAATTTTCGCTTATATATTCTTATATATCTCTTAAATATCTCTCAACATTGCATTAATATAAGAATTTGGGGAACATTAATAGTAAAGTAAAAGCTCATCTTAAAAGGAAAGTGATGAATGCCAAACAGTTATGGTGCATAGGTAATATTATTCAGTGATTTCCCTTCTGCATCTTTATAATGCCTTTTAATGCCTCTGAACAATCAGACTGAACGGATGAATACGTAATATTATTAAATTATATGTTGTTTTCTTATCAAATGGATTTATTAATTCACATTGGTTCGATGTTATACATACTTGTTTCGCCCTAGATTACGCCAAAACTAATGAATGGATTGTATGACCATGAAGAGAATTATCTTGCTAGGAGAAACTATCCATAACTAACGGAAACAGACAAACTTTTAATTCAATGGACATTAATGCATGACATGAAAGACTGTGTTTTTTATTTCTAACTTGACACCATTGGACTATCTACATTATACAGCTTCCACACATAAAACCTATTCACTATGACTGAGTTCAAGTGAATAGTCCTTTGTGTCACTGATACTAATAGATTTCGAATAAAATAATGCCAAATTTTCTTAGAACGAATTTCATCTAGTCTGATTATGATCACTGTATAATGTAAATTTCTCAATTACTTACCATTATTTCATCCCATTTGACTAGTTTACTTTATTATTGTTTGATGTAAATCACCCAACTTTTCGTATACCTTTCATATAAACAAACGCTACGAAAATGTCAGGGAGATGTCAGATCAACTATCTTGAGCAACCAAATAAATGCGATACATTATAATATAACAATGATAAATGACTCTAATTGCTAAACATTCTCCAGTAGAAGCTAGTTTGTAATACAAGCTAATTATTAGCAATCAAATTCTCATAAACTGGATAACTGAATGATTCAGTATTCGCCCAAAGGACTAACCCTATTCATCTATGTTGTATATCGTCCAAAGTAGGTCTACTTTATTTTTTTAAAGCATCGAAATAGAGCGAGAACTTCAAACTATCACTTATCTCAAAGAGGATCGATAAAATCAGGATTAAATAATTCTTCCCAACTCAAAAATTAAAACAGTCTGTATTTATAAGCCTTTTATTTCTGTGATTTTATAATTTACAGGAACATAATCGTTTTGATAGGCATTGTTCTCATAGACAATAAACAAGCGAAAAATCGACAAACACTAATTTTTTCACTAATGTTCTGTAGCGCTGTTTTGGCTTTTCTTCCTATTTTAACACTTATCAACAGCATGTTTTACCAATGTATATAAATGTACTTAGAAAAAAATAATGAATAGAAATGATTGTTTTACACATTTTACACAGACTAATCATATTGTTAGGAGAAAGGGAAAATTATTATAAGTATTATTGTATCCTTGTTTTAAATGACATAACTAGCAAAACTAGTATTACGTCGATTATGTAACACAACATTTTTTTGTCCATGATGATTTGCAACTGCTATTCCTCTGAATTCACATTGATTGCATAATAATGAAGCTATCTCTATGAATACACTATTGTTAATCCATTGGAATAGACCTTATTGGCCTTATATTTTCAGTCAAATTAACCATCAAATTGAAAAATAGTATATATAGCTTTCACGTAAGCATTTTAAATCTAACTTAAACTTGTACATATATTTCTTCATCGATCCCAATTTATGAGTGCTTTAGGACGTTACATTATTGTATTTATTAACTACAATAATGACTGAGTTAAAATATTTGTACAGGTATATAAACTTAAGAGCATGATAATGTTCCACATTCTGGTCTGTTCAGAAACCAGTAAGTATTAGCTGTTCTGGTTCATAGTTGCATATTTGAGTTCCTTTCTGCTGACTTATGACTTGCAGATTATCAATTAATAATGATTTATTACCACAGATGACTTTTGTAACATCAGATCACTTACTCTATTTAAGAACTTATTTTTAACCATCACAAATTATGATAAGTAACACAAAGCGTTGAGGAATTTACATTTTTTATTGAAAGATCAACTACTTTAACAGTTAAGCTAATTTTGTTTCTTAAACTTATTCAGGAAGTATACCTTTCATACCTAGTAAAGAGCATCCTACTGACCATTTTCAAAAGTGGCAAACTTTAAATGCTTAGGATAATCAAATTCTGTATGTATCAATGGCCTCAACAACTTCATTTTTTCAGTATATGAAAGGGAAAAGAAATAATTCACAACGACTAAAACTGCTGATATATATATATATATAGGATGAGTGGTAAGTCACATAAAAACTGACTTTGAAACAATGTGAATAGCTATCAAAAATATATTCAACAATTTTAGGAATAATACCAATTTACAGAACCTGATTATTATTAAGTGAACGAGTCCGATTTTGGTAACCATGCGCTAAAAGGCTGGGAAAAAAGTCCTCGGGCTATCAGTTCACTGGTCCAAACAATCACGAATTTCGGTTAAGAATTGATAAGCTTTTGAAGTTGTTAAAAATCTATAAGAGTGGTTTATTTCGTTTTTCGCCTATAAATAACTTGATTCCTTCAACAGACGCTCTGTTTATGAAGTTTAAACTAACCAATTTAATTTAATCCGTAACATGAACAGCTAACACTGCGTACTGCTCAAAACAACAAATTAAAACCAACTATTTGCTTAGCTTCCCTTGATTCTCCCTAATTTTTGAATGATTTTTCGGATTATTCAAAGAGTAGTCTATTGAAAAAGAAACAAGTTATCACCATTTGTAATTTTTGCAAGTTCAAAACTTGTTTACAAACTGAATTCATACAAAATATTATATCTATACCATCTCCTGGTTATTGTTCAAATACATAAATTTTTCTCTATTGTCTACCATCGGTCAATGTCTGGCCTTATTAATCATTTTGCTGAACGATACAATCCCTTAACAACAATTAGCTCAATTCTCAAAAGGGAGAAGAAAGGACAGGAAATAAAAGAGGAATTATGGTTCAATATTAGAAAAGTGGACAAATTTTTTTTCCACCCATTATGGAAATTACAATGAACAATTTTTCAAGGAGTGGTCAAATCATGTAATAAGATTGGAAAAAACCACAATAATCTAACCAGTTTATTAGAGAGAAAGTAATTTCACTGCAAGACTTACATATTATTGTCAATTTAACAATATATGCTAAGTCAAAAATTGAATGTTTCCAAAAAACGATACTTTGAAAATAAACCATGGCTGAAAATTTCTCATTCATGTTGTAAAGTTCGAGGACATCAAAAGTATTATATGTATTAGGAATTCATATAATAAGAATGAAACAAAACCGAATTTCTCCAAAGGTACATTTGTGAACAAGGAATTCACGTCAGATGAACACATTGACTTTCCCTTGATATTAATATCACCTAAATAATCGATCAATCGAAATTAATCCTCCACAGACTACTTACATAAACGTCTTTGGATAGGATCCAGCTATTTTACCAGCCATTTATTTAGGTTATATGTAGGTGATCGACAAACTGACAAAATTGGGTTTAAATGAATGTTTGATTTGTGGATTTTAGGTAATCCATGTAAATGAGAATACTCAGAACCCATAGGTTTTAGAAAATTAAATTCCTCTTTATCAATAATATTCATATGTAGCTAGTTTATGACCCGATCGAAAATATGTCTCTTTATAAGAGATATGTGAACGATATTTTGGTTGTCTGTGAAAGAAAGGACGATATGAATTTTTTATTGACTAAAGGTAACACTATCCAAAACCAAATTAATCTTTCTTGAGAAGAGAATAAGAACGACTAGCTTCTCTTCTTAGATATACTTATAAATAGACAAGAAGATGGTTCGATCAAACGATTCACTTTTAGAAAACTAAGTTGGACATATCACTACCTTAGCTATAATAGTTACTGCCCAGTGCAATACAAACGGAGTTTAATAAGGGGCCTATTTAATAGGATTAATCGTATTTGCACAAACGACCCTAGTGATGACGACGTTAAGTTGTGGAACAAAACATTAATGGAGCAAAGCTACCCCTAAAACCGAACTTGTTATAAATTAGAGAATATTTCATCAAATGTTTGACATCAAACGTCAATTATATCTAGTTGACTGTTACAGGTGTCTTTCATGATGGCTTAATTATTGATTTATAGTATAGAAAATATATATGAAAATTGCCATTTTTCAAGAACTTTTATTTGTAAGTTCAATTTTCTGGACTTTGTGATACTTTTTTTAATTCGTAGATCAACTTGATGGGGAATTCACATAAGATAGGTAACTACTGGAAACAGTTAGATAGCAAAATTGTTTTACCATAGATTTAGTCACCACTGTCCTTTTAACTATATTGTCAAATAGACCGTAATTACAAATGAGTGAAGTTAGTTATTATATTAACTTGCTATTAACTGCGACACGGATCAATATAACCATACTAAAACGTTCTCCTACAAATTGTTAACATGCTAGTAGTTAAAAAATGTAAACACACGAATAAAAGTTTTGATACAACTCCTTTCGATATTATCTTTTATGATCGTGTACCGCAGCTATGGTGAGCTAACACTGAATACATCCATAAGAGCTTGCGTTCCGGTCAGTACATTAACGAACTAAACGTAACAAACCCTGGTAACCAGAAGCCAATGTGTCAGAACTTGTAAATGTTGTAGGACAATTCGCAAAATGAGTGAAACAAACAGCCAATACCAATATTAATAGCAAGTTCATTAAAAATACTGAACTTCTTAGAATGAAACATTGCTGAAGATTGGGTATGTTTACTCAATTTTCTAGTAAGCAAATAAAGTAGAGCACCTAACCAATTGAATAAAAAGATGTGTTATTGACGTAATTAAAATTCACTTGTTTATCCTATGAAATAAGCATTTATGAATTACACATGATTTTTATTCTATGCACTACTTACTTTCTTTAGGTGGATTCGGATCCCATCCTATGTCAAATATGTTTCCAACATTAGAATTAGGCCAATATGAATCAAGTAGACTAGAATCTTTTGGTAAACGCTGACCATTCATTTTATTCTTTCGGTTATCATTATTATTTTTGTGATAAATGTTAGATCTTGAAGATGAGTCTTCTAATTTTGAATTTATACTCTCTGATAGATCTTTATCTCCTTCAGCAGATATCAGTGTATCAAGTACTGGGAATTCTTTAGGAAGCTTTAAATCTCCTTCATCATCCTGCATTTTATTCAATGAATATTCGTCAACCTTGAAAGCTTGGTTTGTTTGAATTACTCTGCTTCTCAAACGAACTGGTTTATTCGCGTTGGTTGTTGCATGTTGGTATGTATAAATAAATGTGCCATCATAGAACGTTATCGATAATAATAATACTATGTAATACAGTAGTAAATTATTATACATTATGCAATTGACTTTAGAATGTGTACATGTATATCATCATTTCGTAATTAATTAATTAATTAAAGAACTTGTTATGTAAAACTGCAGCATTTAATAACCCAGTCAAATATTATATTATTGGGATAAATGTCCACCGATGAGTTAATTCAGTTCTTCTGAATTAATTAATAAATTCAACCTAAACTGTGATTGTTTTAAACTGGTTAACTTGTTGCATTAGCGTGTGTATGTATGTATATAACCACATAAACAATTGTACACACGACTGAATGTACAATTATATTCGCATTTATTTGTATGTGTTATGAGAGAACAATTTTTTGAAAACACCACCACATATTCCCTCCTATTTTATTGAGGTGGGTGAATAATTTTATCCATAAAGCTATATACCTGACTATTTTGTTCGTTAGTCAGAATCAACAAGAGACGAGTAAGAGCCAAACAGCTGAAATATGTTGGGTTCTTTTTCAACCAATAAGATTACAGTGTTTATTTCTACCTATTTGTTATAAATAGGTGATCATACTACATGACCCTAAAAAACTGATATTAAAATACGTAAAGAATAATTTTCTTTTGTTAAAATTCGCTGTAAACAAGATGCTTTTTAAATGTTAGGGTCACAAAATAAACCATTTATGTTTATGGACGGTTAGCCAATAGTTTACTATATCAGTTGAAGCTATATAACGGTAAATAATGGCTACCCCCGATCTGTACACTAACATTTAGTTATCTGTTTTAAAATATGAGGGTGGGGTGAGATAGTCCGATAATGTTATTGTTTAGCCAGTAGTGTAAGGTTTCTTCTAATTAAACCTGGGAAGGAATTCAAACAATAAGATTTAAATTGAATCGGTTCATAATTCCTATGAAATAAAAACATATTTTGAGATAATTAGAGAATACAGAAATAGGAAAAAGGAAAATATGTACAGTCAAAATGACAAAATATTCTTTATTTCTTTACCTTTGTCAATCTAATCGATTCCCAACGGAAGTAGTAAAGGTCTTCAATCTCAGATCTTCACTTCATACGGAAACTTATAGTAGTCAGGGTTATCTTGTTCATACAATTTCAAAGTTAGCACTCTATACTGAGATAATCGTGAAGTGAAGTGCTATATAAACCTTCATCTTTATCCATAATTATGATTTTAAGGTTTTATACAAACAGTAGTGATATATAACCATCTTACTGATTCGTGAATGTCACTATCCAATCTTACGATTGCAGAACGTTATAGGCCCATACTTTCATAAGTGTTCACTCGAACTGAACAACGTCTTGTCGTTACAGCCGAAGGCATGATATTACAAACAGGAACCGCTCATAGGTAGCTGTCCACCAGTCACAACCTCCATAAAACTATTCTTCTCGTCCACTGACTTTGTGCTGGGATAATTGGGTGTTCGCTAGGACAGTCATAAAGTTTTCTCACTAAGTAAGTGTCATCGTCAGACGGTGGAATTAGGGGAGTTGATGCAAGACCTCGGCGATTGTCAGCTGCATGAAACTAACATTTGGGACCGCCTACTGTCAATCCTGGTAAGAGTTCAGTAAATTGACCACAGTGATCCCTGAAGAAAGCATAACAGCAAAGAAACTAGCCTTCAACTAAGCAGATACGTATATTATCGTGACCTGTCTGATTCAGGCACCATAGCAACCACCAAAGCTGTACTTCTTTATTTGATATTAAACTTTTGAACTTGTTTCGCAGAAAGGCTATTGGACTGAAGTTTCATGTTGATTACTGTTCACCGTCGAAACAGTTTTTCTAAACGTAAAACTTACACGATACTTTATGTGATACAATTTCATTTTCAGATTTATTCGAGAAATTATAAAAAGTTCTTATGGTTTATTACGATCTAAACTGTGTAGTGATTTGATTATCATAGTAGATATCTTCACATATAGACGATTATGACCTGAACAACAGATAGAGATACATAAGTTCAATGATAACTCCAACTATTGATTATAAGTAAACTTAAACAAATGATTTCAATGATACACACATTGACACATTTCACTTGTCACTAATGTTCAGACTAGTTAGTTGTGCCAAATATTAAAATTAATTTATTTATATTTTTCATTAAATACCATTCTTCTAAATTAAAATAAACAACTATAATTTACAGGCTGAGGATAAACAGTTCATTTCTACAGCATAGCAACATATAACTAGTCTTCAGTTCATGTATGTGTAAAGGTAACAAGAGGGAATAAATGATATCAATAGTGTATAGATTGAATTACTTTGATGTTTAACAATTTTCATAATTAAATCCAGTCAGTTTTGATAAATAACACATTAATATTATTGTTATTATTGCTAATCAGTAACTGATACCTGGTAAATACACAAAATAATTGTTAAATCAAGGTAATTGACGAGTTAATCGCTAATTTTTGTCATGTATTTATATTAATAATGAGGATGTTTAACTGTAGTCGTGTGCTTTACAATTACGCCCAAGTGTAAACTAGACAAAAAAACTCATTAAGAATAAAAATAATTTACTGTTATCAGTAATTTGCCATGTATATTCTGTGTATTGTAAATATTACTAAAAATTAATGGAGTGAGAAAAATTATACTGAACCGCTATCGTATAATATTCAAGATGTACAGACTGATTAATTACAGCTCCTTATAACAACCAATACAGACGAATTAAAAGTCGCCCCGTTGTACAAGCCAGTGGTTAACGCGATATCTTTTGAAGCGTATGTCACTGCTCTGGGGTACAGAAGTGAACATCAACATTGGGATTCAGGCACATACAGCTGACGATTTCCAAATTGGACGAAGCGTTTGTCCTGGGCACCACTCTGCTCATTATACTGTTTCAGTATTAGAACACTGCAATGGGGATAGAAACTGAAATACAATGTTAATAAAGTTAGGACACGATGTAGAATGCCCTAGGTTATTGACTTCCTGAATTATCATCGTGATTTATAAATCCAACTGTTTCATTGAATCACGAATGAAACTGATTTTTCTTTAGTAAACCAACTACCACGTTATTCTTTTGGTACAATCCATAGTTAGTGAAGAAGAATTACGATAATAACATTTTTGGTTGTTTTATTCATTTCCAATAACTGCAAGGAAAGGCTAGAAAATGTAATATACACGTCAAACTCCAGGTCAGAGGTTAAACAATTTAAATGATCTTTTATGATAAGTGTTTTTTAGTGACGTTCTTTTTTACGAGATGAGGTTGCTAACACTATACTCAACCTTCCTCTTTTACCAGGACAGTAACCTTAGAGATGTTTCAGTGAAGTTGGTACTGAATATATCTGAGGAACAGCAGTCTCAATAAATATAAGTATTCCTCTCAGAGCTTACTTTGCGAAGGCTATGCTAGCATATATACGTATTTGAGATGAACATAATGTCAGGAAACACCATACGATTTATATACGCAATATCAGAGTTGAGATGATTTGAAAGTTGTGTGTTCAAGCCTCGCAATACTAAGTTTTTGTAAAAAATCAAGTTAATAGATATTTTCTATGGCGTACAGTTGTAGATGTTACAATCTTTACTTTACATGGCATAGCTAATTTAACATAAGTTTCTTTCGATTCACAGAATGGCAATAAACACAAATATACCAACATTGGTTATTGTTGATCGCCATCTCTATAGGATACCTGCGCTTTTTTCCGATAATTATAACGCAATATATCTACTGCACAAATTTTATTAAAATTCGTACATTCACTCTTTTATGCTGGGAACAAAATTAACAAGCAGACCATAGTGAAATTGCTTTCGATAATAAAGAATTTCAGTGCAAAATAAATAACAGTCATCTCTAGATGGTAATTAATAAACTATTCGCAAAGTTTTAAAATCTGGAAATAATTCACCCTCTAGAATCATGAGACTGATATCAAAATTAAATTTCAATAACTTTTCTGTTTGAAGGATAATGATCGATGGACGGTTTATTAAAGTAATCATAGTTCTTTTTCAGGTTTGAATGGTCTTCACTGGTGAATGAATACATTTCACAAATATGTATTAAGTAAGAAGTGGAAAAATCTAGACAAACATGTCGACAGTAAACATGTTCATTAGATTCTTCGATGTTGATTCAAGCTCTGATTAGCAGTAATGATAATATCATTATGATTTATAAACGGATTAGACTTTTATTTCCTCTTTAATCTTTTGTTTACTTGAATAGAAATAAAACATATATTCATATGTTTAGACATACCTTTCATTGTTGTATTACACCCAACCAACCTGAATATATGTTCCCATTCTTAATGTTCATTTAGCTACTATTCATTTAACATTATATATATATATATATATATATATATATATGCTCATAATGAAAATGATCTATATTATGTAATCTGATTTATGCAACCGGTTACTTGTTGCTCTCATATAGCATTATATAAAAGCAACAATATGGTGGTAATTACTCATGTCATTATCTATTTACATCAAATCAAACTTGAAAGACCAACCACACACTAATAGGTCTCACTAAAAGTAAGACATGAAACTCAATGTAATTATCAATGGACCAAGAAGAATGGTGAGCTGATCAGTAAATAGATAAAAAATTCTTTATAAATCTCTGTATATCAAGTAGAAGCGAATGAGAAAAGATGGGCGATGGTATAATTACTTGAGTTTTATTTTGATGCATCTAATCAATTTAAGATTATTCAGCTCTAATGAATGGCGCCAGGATACACCTGTCTACTAGTAAAATTAGCAAAATAATTGTTAAATTGTTAATTGTACTACCATCAAAGTGACAGATGCTTCTAGTACTAATATTTTCTCTCTTTTCTTTCTCTCTTTTTTGTGTATATTGCGAAGGGACAAAATAAACCACTATAATTAGTAAGGTCATTAGCATAATGGTCCCAGTTACTCAAATGAGACAAGTCTAGGTCAGTAACTCTGGTATATTATACAGAACTTGAAAGCTAATCAGTGATTTCAATAAACATGCTTTGATGAGTAAGGTTCATTACAACAGACCATAAATTGACAATTGTTTTGTTGTACTATTCAAGCTGATAATTTTACATGCACCAACTTGTCTAATAAATAGATAACTAATGATTAGATGGTTATCTTAAGAGTAATGAAAAATAAAAGCCAGTAATTTTCAGCATCAAAAATGGGATATATTATCTCATTGATTATCTTACTGACAAATTGATGTTACTATGGCATTATTATCCTCAGGCCTACACAAAATGT